AATCTACATTTAGAGGTTGTTGTTTTTTTGCAGTGCTTCAGTTGCCATTCTAATTGTCTGAAGAAAACAAAAGAACCTCAGGGCTGCACATTGCCGTGGCTGGGAAACAAAGCGAGTTTAACAGATTGCAATAATCCACGAGCCTGGATCTGTAAGCACGCATGGAAAAAGACAATTACTTTGACACCCTGAATAGGAAAAGAAATGTAAAGCAAGGAGAATGGGCAGAAGAAGAAAGAGGCTGACATGTCTGGAGTATATCACAGGATGATTGAAGCCTAACTGGTTTGGATATTGCTTTTTTTGTTCTTCTATGTGATGTTTTGAATTGCAGATGCGTATGTATATTTGCCACGGCAAAAAACCAACAACCCACAGATCATGTAAACTGTAGTCTCTCTCTCTCTCTCTCTCTCTCTCTCTCTCTCTCACACACACACACACACACACACATAAGTTTATTGTTCTAGCCAAAGACCATGGGAAACTTGTATTAGGCAATAGTATTAATAAAGTAAAACAGAACATACATCCATAATATAAAAACCCATAATATAAAAAAGACTTTGCCGAGTTCCTGAACATTAAAACTCAATTTCCCTTGTGCATCTCTGACAGCTCCAATTCTAATATTATGCTGTATTCTGTAGACATATTATGTATTGGGAAGTTTTTTATGAGCGGGGTATAAATAATAAATTGTCATTGTTGCTGTTGTTATTCCTTTTTAAAAAATCCAATTTGCCAACATCCATGAGGTAAGAGAGAGAAGTTACTAGAGACACCAACGAGCTTAAATCCAGCTTGATTTCAGATTATACATTTGAATCACCATGATAATTTATCTAACTCATTTTGACTTATTTTTCCCCAGTGGGTGCACAGAGGACCAGTCTCTGTGTTACAAAGCTATTATTGTCACTCAAAAGAAACCAAACCATTTCTGCTATGGTTTGCCTGCTTGCTTGTGTGAACAAAGGTTTCAGAAAGCGATCTCCTGGTTCTCTATATAAGGGGCAAACTAGCAGATGCCTTCTTCCTGGTTGACCACAAATGCAAAGTCTGTCTGCATACATCCAAGACTGTAGTCGGCATTACTTGGAAACCCAACTCAATAAAGGCATTTCTTAAGCAAACTGGTCAGGTAACTGGCTCGCTCTAAAATGCTCTTTTCTCAAGAGTGGATACCAAGGGGGAAAAGTGGGGTTTCTAATTAGGTGAAGGTCCCTTTTGCATTCTATCCAGAAAAGCCAATCCCTTAGTTGACACCTATTCAAGATCAAAGCAGAGCTCAGTTTTCAAAAATAATAATAGTCTTAAACATCTTGAGAAGCTGCTTTCCAGAGTTGGTTATCATCAGGGCTTTTTTCAGCTGGAACTTGCCAGAACTGCGTTCTGACACCTATCATTGCCAGTACGTTTCCGAGCACAATTCAAAGTGTTGGTGTTGACCTTTAAAGCCCTAAATGGCCTCGGTCCTGTATACCTGAAGGAGCGTCTCCACCCCCATCATTCAGCCCGGACACTGAAGTCCAGCTCTGAGAGCCTTCTGGCGGTTCCCTCATGTTGAGAAGGGAAGTTACAGGGAACCAGGCAGAGGGCCTTCTCGGTAGTGGCACCTGCCCTGTGGAATGCCCCACATCAGATGTCAAGGAAATAAACAACTATCTGACTTTTAGAAGACACCTGAAGGCAGCCCTGTTTAGGGAAGTTTGTAATGTTTGATGTTCTATCGTGTTTTTAATATTCTGTTGGGAGCCACCCAGAGTGGCTGGGGAAACCCAGCCAGATGGGCGGGGTATAAATAATAAATTGTTGTTGTTATTGTTGTTGTAAGAGAACAAGGGAGGTGTTATGGGTGAATTCCGGCACCTCTTTTTCTAGAAAAATAGCACTGTTTATCACCCAGTTCCATACAGCACAGCACAGTAAAATGTTCAACAGGCATAGTAGCAATTTAAAAAAATATATTTTAACTGAGCACAGTTCCTATAAATAAATATCCACCTTGCTATTATAATCCCAGTTTTTGGCCTCGTGGTTAAGATCAGATCTTTGAGACGCGTAGTACAGGTAAATAACAAAGGTAGCTTTAAAGCAGGGCCCTGCATTTATCCCTCTGCAGGCAGCTGCCATTTACAAGAGCTGTCCAGAGGAACATTGATTGATGCTGTTTCCCAATCATTTCTCAACATTTCTGTTTAACAAGGCCCTGGCAGATTATTTACCTGGTAGCAACCTTTTCTCTTCAAGGGTCACCGCTCTTAATTATAGCTGTACTTGTTTATTGCCTTGAGATCCATCAAGGGCTTTTCCTTCATAACCTTTGTTTTCTTCTTCTTCTTCTTCTTTTTTTTTTTTGGACAAGGCATCAATTCCTCAATACCATTCAAGCTTACTGCGGACTAGAACATGACAAGCAAAATCTCAGGGGATGTTTATATTCAGATGACCCTCAAGGCGTGCCGACCGCAGCTAGGTTTTGCATGGCCTGTTGCAGTGAATACTGAGAATGTCCCGCAGAATCTGCCCCAAATCCTGCCCCAGATTCCTGTTTCTCAGCACACCACTGTGTCTCTTCCTTCAAGCCACACTACTTTAGATTTTTCTTTCCTACAGCTTCCTAAACCCTCCTCCCACTGTAATCTTCCATCATGAGTCTTCCCACCTGGTCCATACATGGTCCTTGACTATGGGTGTGATCACATTACTGTCTTAGATCACAGTGAAATTGGTTCCCTTCCCAGAATACCATTGCCTTGGTAACAGCTCACTTCCCAGGTTAAAGGATTCCTCTCCATCAACACCTTTTCTCATGTTAACAGGTCTGCTCTTCACTAAGCCACAACAATACAAACACAACACGTAGGCTAATAGTTAGTAGAAAATATATAATACAGTGGTGCCTCGGGTTAAGTACTTAATTCCTTCCAGAGGTCCGTTCTTAACCTGAAACCGTTCTTAACCTGAGCTACCACTTTAGCTAATGGGGCTTCCCGCTGCTGCTGTGCCGCTGGCGTGTGATTTCTTAACCCGAGGTACTACTTCTGGGTTAGCGGAGTCTGTAACCCGAAGTGTTTGTAACCCGAGCTGTTTGTAACCCGAGGTACCACTGTATATAGATAAGAGTAGCCAACATGGAGCCCTTCAGAATTTGCTGGAATACAGTTCCCACCATCCTTGACCATTGGCCATGCCAGCTAGGGAATTGTAGTTCAGCAACATCTTTAGGGCACCACATAGGCTACCAATGATATAGATAATTTAACAAATCAAATGATCAAATCTGAAAAAGGGCATTTGGTACAAGAGATATAAATACCCATTGCATAGCTTACAAAAATATTCAGACTGAAACATTTGATGATTTTCAAATGCTTTGCTGATTGCTGTGTTTTAAACTCTTGTGTTTTTTCCCCTCTTGTAAGTTGCCTAGAGATTATTGTGCTATTAGACTAATAAAGCAAATCAATCAGTCAGTTAAATAAATGAATATTTAACGTATTGTAAAGCAGTGTTCGACATTTGGAGTTCTGCACTGCTCTTAAGAATCCCAGAGGTTGAGAACACTGTTGTCGTGAAGTGATAAAAGTATTTTCCACTTCTCATATTGATTATTTAAATAGCTATGCAAAAGTGGTGTCAACAATTGTGCCCCAATCAAGTTTTAAGGACCAGAATCAACAATAAACAGGAAGAACTCCAAAGCCTGAAGTGTGATTTTCAATATGCCCTTGGTAGAAAATATTTGCCTTGGAGATTTACAGTAAGTACTACCATGGTCGGAGTTTTAGCTGAGACTGAATGCTTTGCTGATTCATGACATACGCACATACAAAAAGCTTAATAAAATGGAATAGATCTAGTTCAGGAAGTCTCTTGATAGTATCTTGTAATTTTGTTCACCAACAGCCTTTATTTAAAGCTATATCCCAGGAGTCTGTTTATAATGAGCTGAAAGTGCAGAGATAAGCAGTTATTTCAGAAAATGTGGCTCCCTATCGATGTATATTTCGCTCAGGCTGTATATCTTAATTGAAGTGAAATGAGCATGGGACACTAGGGTTTATTTTTAGGTCTAGTGAGGCATTAAATAGCCCAGAAGCAAGATTAGGGAGAGAAGAAAGCACATTAACTTTAGTGCTTCAGCCGTGGGTACCAAAAGCTCCCATCAACTTGTGCAGAAATGGTAAACACAAATGCCAAACCAACAAGTTATGCTATCACCATCTTCTCCTTAGCTCCTCATCACCATCTGCTCCCTTTTGGACACTTCATTTCTGCCCAAACTGTTCTCCCTGCTCACTTTAATACATCATGGCCTCTTTTGTACCAGCCATCTTTTATATATTTTAATCTCCTGTTCTCTGCTTCATCTTACCAACCTCTCTATTCTGCCTTGGTCAGACCACATCCGGAGTACTGTGTCCAGTTCTGGGTGCCACCATTTAAAAAGGATATTGACAAGCTGGAACATGTGCAGAGGAGGATGACCACGATGGTCAAGGGTCTGGAAACCAAGCCTTATGAGGAACAGCCTGAAGGTGTTGGGTATGTTTACCCTGGTTAAGAGGAGACTGAGAGGAGATATGATAGCCATCTTCAAATATGTCAAGGGCTGTCACATGGAAGAGGGAACAAGCTTGTTTTCTCCTGCTCTAGAGGGTGGGACCTGAACCAATGGACTGAGGTTACAAGAGAGGAGATTCCAACTAAACATCAGGAAGAACTTTCTGACAGCTGATTGACAGTGGAACAAACTTGCTCAGAAGGTGGGGGACTCTCCTTCCTTGGAGATTTAGAAGAAGAAGAAGAAGAGGAGGAGGAGGAGTTTGGATTTGATATCCCGCTTTATCACTACCCTAAGGAGTCTCAAAACGGCTAACAATCTCCTTTCCCTTCCTCCCCCACAACAAACACTCTGTGAGGTGAGTGAGGCTGAGAGACTTCAGAGAAGTGTGACTAGCCCAAGGTCACCCAGCAGCTGCATGTGGAGGAGCAGGGAAGAAGAAGAAGAAGAGTTTGGATTTGATATCCTGCCTTTCACTCCCTTTAAGGAGTCTCAAAGTGGCTAACATTCTCCTTTCCCTTCCTCCCCCACAACAAACACTCTGTGAGGTGAGTGGGGCTGAGAGACTTCAAAGAAGTGTGACTGGCCCAAGGTCACCCAGCAGCTGCATGTGGAGGAGCGGGGAAGTGAACCCGGTTCACCAGATTACGAGTCCACTGCTCTTAACCACTACACCACACTGGCAGAGGTTGTATGGCCATCTGTCACAGATGCTTTAGTTGAGATTCCTGCATCATTGGAGGGGGTTGGACTAAATGACACTTGAGATCACTTCCAACTCTACAATCTATGATTGCAAAATTCAGGGAAAGTGCGCATTTTGAAGGATGGCTGTGTGTTGTTTTGGAAAAGCGTAAATAAGTAAAGTTCACCATTAAATGCAAGCTGAACCCAATGTCATCCCCCATCCCTACACACTACACTGCAAGGGCACAATGCCTTGGGAAGGTTTGCCTGCCATGCTGGGGAAGGGCCATAGCTCAGTGGCAGAGCATTTACAGAATATCTCAGGTTAAATCCCTAGCATCTCCTGGCAGTGGCCTCTCTTTGAAGCCCCAGGGAGTCATAGTCAGCCACTGTACACAACACTGAGCTTGATGGTCCATGGATCTGGCATGATAGAAAACAGCTTCCTTTGAGATGAGCAAGACCACAGACTGAATATGTCCTGTAAAACCTTTACTTACATAAAATGCTCACATAAACTCCATCGGGAGCTCAGGAGAAAAAAACGCAAACTGTATTCTTAATTTTTTTAGAGCACAAGGGGGCTTTTTGTCCCTGCGGCCCTAAAATTATACAAGGCCAAAACGTTGGCACAGCTCCTTTATGGATCCTTTCTGGGCCCGCCTTCCTCTGCTTTCTCCCCCCTTCAGAGAGCTCAATCCAAACTCCTTAGAGCTCTCCTACAAGTCCCCAGATGCGTTTCAAATGCATGGGTTAGACTAGAAATGGGGATGATGAGAATGGAGGCTTATTTCCACCTAACATCAATCTATAAATGGCTGACATTGAATCTGCTCCGCAGAGGAATAGCCCCACTGATCCTCTGCAACCAGTTCCAGTCAGGCTGGCAGATAGCAGTCCTGAACACCCTTCAGAAACTGGGTTGTGCCCTCAAACCCTTCTAAGTCTGGGGTTGGGCCAGGCAAAAGCTACGGTCAGGCAAAGAATCATAGACACTGAGAGACAACAGGACTGCTCAAGGTGCCCCAACTATAGAATTGGAGAAATCGAGAGATAAATAGCCGCACCGGCAGCATATCTTTCTTTCTCATATCCAAAAATGCAAGAAGGGCTTTTACACTCTCCAGAAGCTCGGCTCTGCCCTCGCCGGTCCTGGAAGGGTCCTTTAAAAAGTCCCATATGCTCAGAGACTTTGCGCCTGTTCATTGGGGGATATAGGAAGCCCAGAGCACCTGTTCTTTAGATGTCCCTTTTATGTAGAGGAACGTAGTGAGACCACTGATCCCCTGCTGGTGAGGCTTGCTGACCTCCCGGAAAAGCAAAAATTTGACCTTTTCCTGTTAGGCAAAGATCATAAGATGATCCGGATGACCGCCAGATTCTGTGTACAGATCTGTAGGCGCAGACCATCCCCCAACCCAAACTAGTGACTCATCTCTCTGTGGTAGCTTACCTTAAGGTTTTAAGTGTCTATATGCTTATTGCATTTATAAATTTTAAATTTATTGTTGTACGTTGTTTTAAATGTTTGCTTTACTTCTGGGATTGTACCCCCCAAATGTGTTTTATAAGCTGGTCTCTGACCGTAATAAATAATCTATATCTATCTATCTATATATCTATCTATCTATCTATCTATCTATATAAAGAGCAAAGTTGGTTTGGAAAGTTTGGGGTCTGTTCAGTGTTCTAATACATCCCACAGTCTTCAAACGTCAGACATGTGAGAATTTTCATACCTTTCTGGGGAATCAAGGGCTTTGCTGTCAGGTATATGCAAGGATTCAGAGTCACCCAAGATGAGGCGTGTCTAGAGGAGATCTCAGGTCTCCTATCTTTTTAAAATTTCCTTGAATTGAGCCGCAGGGAGAGGGGGCAAATTGGCTTGGACTGGTGGCACTTGGCTTTTTAAAAACACTTCCCCTTCTCTACTTCTTTCTTGATCTGAATTGTCCTCCCTCCCTCTCAGCTGCTATTTTCCCAATTAGGATAAGCCTACTGCTGAATCACATTTTAGGGATTTAAGGAACTGAATCACATCTTGTATTGAAAGTTAATGCAAGTTTGCTAGCATTGTCAAACTGGTTGCATTTGATTATGGCAGTTGCCAGATGTACCGTAGATTCAGCGTTGAAAGCTAAAATGCACATCATAGATTCTGACAATCTCAGCTTGTGTCTCTTTATGCTCTTTGTGTCCCCGGGCATCTGATCAGAGATTCCTATGATCTCTCTCTCTCTCTCTCTCTCTCTCTCTCTCTCTCTCTCTCTCTCTCCCTCCCTCCCTCCCCTCTTTATCTGCTTCTTCCTAGCTGGCCAGCTTAATATTTCATAGCCATGGGGGCATAATGAATTGGTCTAAAATAATCATGCTTCGTCTCCTCTTGTCATCCGACTGCTCATTTTGTGTGCGAATTAAAATCATATTAACTTGAGAATAATGTAGATAGGACAGCTGACAAAAAAAGTTAATAATCTAAGAATAGGCTGGAGCAGTGCTAAGAAGTCCCTTGCCTTAAAGAGGCCATGTGTGCAGGAGTAGTTTCAACTTTATCTGCAGGTACTGCAAGGCTGAGGGCTGCCCCTCTGGACTGTCTCGTCTTGTCCTGCCAAGTTATTCCTTTCCCGCAAACTTACTTAAAAAAAAAAAAAAGCCACTTTAATCATCATGGTTTCCCACAAAGAATTCTGGAAATTGTAGTTTGGGGGAGATGTTCTAACCAAGCTGCAATCCTATGCAAATCTACTAAGGTAGTTCCATTGATTTCAGTAGTGTTTCTTTGGTTTCAGCAACACTTGGTTCAGATGAATAGTGAACAGCATAACCCAGATGGCTAAACTGTAAAACAAAAATAGGGACACCCCATTCCTTAATGATAATTTTACTATTTATACCCCACACATCTTATTGGGTTGTGCCAGCCACTCTGGGCAGCTTCCAACATATAGAAAAAACGTAATAAACATTTTTTAAAAACCTTCCCTAAACTGGACAGCCTTTAGACGGCTTGGGGGGTCAGATAACTCCATACCCACCAACATTTATCCAATGAAAATAGGGACATCCTAAGGAAAAGTGGGACATTCCGGGATCAAATCAGAAACCGGGACAGCTTCTCTAAATCAGGGACGTCCCTGGAGAATAGAGACACTTGGAGAGTCTGTAAAAGCTAAGGCAGCTAATTCATTCAGAGAATGTTCCAGAGGCTGTCCGTCATGGAGAACTGCTAAAAATATAGGTCAAATGTGGTGTGAGATGTCCACTCTTTGCACCTGATTTTCAAGGTCAAGGAAGAGCTCATCAGATACTGCTGGGACTGTAATACAGTGGTATCCGGGTGTACTTAATTCATTCCGGAGGTCTGTTCTTAACCTGAAACTGTTCTTAACCTGAAGCACCACTTTAGCTAATGGGGCCTCCTGCTGCCGCCGCTCCGCCGGAGCACCATTTCTGTTCTCATCCTGAAGCAAAGTTCTTAACCTGAAGCACTATTTCTGGGTTAGCGGAGTCTGTAACCTGAAGCGTATGTAACCTGAAGCGTATGTAACCTGAGGTACCACTGTACTATCCAAACGCCATGGGCATTCAATGCTTCGGCTGAATCCTGGCTGCTGGGGAGCAATTGTGGGAGAGTGTTAGATGTTGTCAGTGGCTCCCTGCTGGTTGTCCATGAAAGTATAAAGTATAAGAAAAAGTTTCTTATAGTCTTTTTTTATTTCAGGCTATAGAGGCTATAGAACCCAGCCTCTTGGGCCTTGACACGAGTGAATCTCCATCCCTGTCTCTCCCACTTCCTCATTCATCATCATCACCTCCTCACGGGTGCTGCTAAGTGCCCTTTGTCTTCGAGCTCTTTGCTCTCCTACTCTTAAGGCCCGCCGGGTTCTGGGAGATGGTGGGTTTAGAATGCTTTCTAATGACAACGTGTCAGTCAGCTACCATTCTGGTCCTGCCTCTTCCTCTCCCATAATTTCCCAGCTTTCCCCCTCATCTGCCTCTGAGCTGTGACCTCCCTCCACTCCCTGTTGTAAATCTATACTATCTTCCTCTTCCTCCTCCCTGGAAGGGTCAGGCTGAGGAGGTGGTCTTCACCATTCCTTCTCTGCCCAGTCCCTGATAGAGTGAGGCCTCTGTGCCTTGCCTGAGTCCCTTCCGGAGGCATCAGAAACAGGATTCTGGAAACCTGTTCCCTTCCAAAGATAGTTTATATCCTGCCTTTTTTTACTCCTCAAGAAACACCCAAGGTTTCTTGCAATATTAAAGTACAATCAATCAATAGCATGCTAAAACAGAAGAAGAGCTTGAATGCAACTATTTAGCAGAGAAAAGGGATTCTTGCTTCTTTTCACAATATGTCGGTGAAGGAGATACTGTCTAAGGGAGGACAAATGGATAACAATTCCCTCCTCCTATACCTGGATAAATGGTGTGTGAGAGAGAAATACTATAGATTTTCAATGTGATCCAGCAGGCCTCTTATCACATTCATTAAAAATAAAAATAAAACTGTATGAATATCAAAATATGGAACTTACAACATAAAGCATTGGTTAACCCCACAAACCCCCAGGATCAAAAGACTCATTAGCAGCATCTTGTTAATATCTAAGACTGCAATCATCCATGGCAAACAATGAGACTTGTTTTTAAGTAGACATGAATATGCTTGCACTGTAAGACTGAGACGGCTGGGTGGCAAAAGTTAATTTAAATGATCTGATCCCTCATGCTACAGTTCTGTCAAGCACCAGCTCATTTGCTACAGTAAGTCAATGTGCTTTATTGGAGCATAGTGTATAATATAGGATACAATAGAAGTAGAGAGCTGGTTCGGGGTGTGTGCATGTGTGTGTGTGTGTGTAAAAATCAATGGCTTATTTGTAAGAAGCTTGCTGTTGACATTCAGTGGAATGACTCCATTTTTCTAATGTTAAGCTTTGGTACTGCTGAGCTTATCCACTTCTGTTTTGCCATTCAAGGAACATGTAAATCGACAG